ATGCAATGAACTCGTAACACTTGTCTGCAGCGATTGAATCGCGACGATCAAATCGCGTGAACTCTGTCCGAGGCCTTACGCCGCTGCTTCTACCATAACGAATTTCAAAATGGGTTTTTTTCAGCGTGGAGCAGGGTGCTCTCTCGTAAGAGGAACCACCGACCTGATGCCTAGTTAAAACGTTTTTGTAGACGAGTATGGCTAATAGAATCTGTTCGCAATTGGCGAAAAAATTCTACACTTTTCGCGAACTTCCTCTTGCATCGCCATTCCAACTTCAGAGTGAACAAAAATTCTGTATCCAAAGGCACTTTCAACTCACTCTTCGAGGTCCATCTTCTGATATATGAAAGTGCTTGTTTGGGCACAATAGTCGGTCAAACGTCAAGGATCTTTCCATGTTTTTGCTTACGGTAGGTTCCATTGTGCAATGATAAACGCTTTGAGTAACCTACTGCGAGCGAAAATCTGGATGAATCCATAAAATACACCCGACTGTTGTGCTCAGACAGTACTGCCATATATCAGAAGATGCATCTCGTCGAGCTGAGTTGATTGGTGTTTTTGGATTCAGAATTCGTTTACTCTGAAGCAATATATGGCGATGCAGCCCAAAGTTAGGCGAACTCCGGCGAAGTACGATTATTGTGTTTATAAATTACGAATGGTATTGTATTAACTTCCTCTTCATAACCAACTTCAGAACCCCTCCTCAGATTGCTTCACATGTGAAACTGCCTATTTGAGCGGCGGGGACTTTATCTACGTTGGTTCAAAGACAGCAGTGAGCCGTTCGAAATTCATTCTGTGCTATATATACGAGCGAAAGGGACCCCAAAGAAGCCGTTGGGTTAGGTTTGGTGCACCAGTGGCCGTATTCATCAACGAACAACCCAGTGGGTTCCGAAACCCATTTAGTGGTTTTGATGAATATCGATTCTACATCGATATTCATGATGATATTGATGTAGAATCGATATTTTTCAAAACCACTAAATGGGTTTCGGAACCCACTGGGTTGTTCGTTGATGAATACGGCCACAGGAGTGCAGATTTTCACGCTTTCTCCACGGCGGCGGACTCCTTTGGCAGGAGAACGGAGTGGATGAACGGCAGACTTTCCCTTGAGCGAGGTCACGCCAGCGAGTTCACAGCAGCTTATTTAACTCATCGTCATTGCGAATGGCTATAGATGACGAAGGTTGGTGCGGGTCTTCCTGTTGTCGCCTCAAAGGGGGTGGGGGAACGAAAGCCGCCAGGTCCAGCCGCCTCCGCGGACTGCTGGTCCTGGAACGACATGCAACAACTCTGCGAAAGGACCAGCTGGCCGCGAAAGGCGGCTGGACCTGGCGGCTTTCGTTCCCCCACCCCCTCAAAGGCAGTGTCCGGGCAAAAATCCAGAAAATCCACTTACCGGGGGTTATCCGCAACGCTAAATCCGAAAATCCACATTAAAAGGCGCGAAAACGGCGAGAATATACGTTTTTCAAAGCGTTACATGAAATTCGACGGCCCCCGCCAGGCTAAGACGCAGAGTCACTGCGGGATCCAACGATTTTGACTGTGGCGGCATGCGTACTCTGCCGCATAGCAGGAACTCAAACAAGTCGGAGGACCCCGCCTCAAGGCTTGAGTTTCCCCATTTTCTGGTCGTTCTTCTTGCTTTAGGTCGAGCGGTGTGACGTCGCACTTGCGCGATGTTGTATCTGAGAGGGTCGCTTTCGCATGGCACTGAACTCCCAAAAGCCACAACTTGCCCGGACACTGCCTTTGAAGACAGAAAATGGGGAGGACCCCGCCTCAAGCCTTGAGGCGGGGTCCTCCGCCTTATTCGAGTTCCTGCTATGCGGCAGAGTACGTATGCCGCCACAGTTAAAATGTATCCCGCAGCAACTCTGCGTCTCTGCTTGGTCCTGAAAACGTATGTTCCCGCTGTTTTCACGCTTTTCAATGTGGATTTTCGGATTCAGGGTTGCGAATAACCCCGATAAGTGGTTTTTCTAGAAATCGAATTTTTGTCCGGACACTGCCTTTAAAGGCTTCTATAGGCTGGCGCGAACTATGGCCTGCCCCCTCCTGAGGCGGGCTTTTCTTGCACGCGCATGGACTGCTACGTACTTTTCAAGCATTATAGCTGCAATACTCTCAAAAATGGACAATCTGAAACCCATGTCTGGATTTGGGATGGAAGTTGAACAGCGATAAAGCTAGTGAGCTGACACAAAATATCTACTGTCTTTAGCGTTCAAAACTGAATAATTACGCTAGTCCTATTCAATCTACTAGTACTAACAATAAGCTCTACGCCGTATATCTTAAACTTACTCTATTCATGTGCACGGATTACTCTCCACTGATTGCCGTGCAATTTGACTGTATGGAATGAATTTTTCGGTACCTTTTGCATAACAAAATTTCGTAAGAGATGGTAAAGGACTCTTATTCCTAAGCCTTGGTCACTTCAAATCTTCAGTTCCCAACGCATTAATGGCCCTAAAGACTTGGAAACGCAAAAAGCGGAAGCCGCATAATACAAGCAGCACCCAGGCAGGCTGAAAGTCCATTGGTCCTGCTAACCCATGTTTGAGGGTAGATGATAAGTGGGACGAAAATGCGCTCAAATAAATTAGGACGAGACCCCATTACTTTTACTCAAACAATCGCAAGGGAAGCTCCGGAGTAAACTGAGCTTTTAGAACTTCCGGAGCAGACGCTGCTATTGGTTCGTGTGGCAAAAGCCAAACGGCCCATGCTACACGGACCAACAGCAGCATCTGCTCCGGAAGTTTTAGAAGCTCGGTTAGTCCGGAGCTTCTCTTGCGATTGTCTGAGTATGGATTGAAGTTACCTAGCGTACCCTCACATTCCATTCCAACTATCCATCTTGCTGCTGTTCTAGTACACTAAACACAAAACTACAAAACTCTTAAACATACTAGTCCGTCTCAACAAAGCAGATTTACGGTCCAAATTTTTATTGACGAGATTTTCTGACCACTAATGTGGCCCTAAAGAGGGCCGTTGGGTTAGGTTAGAAGATGTTTTCCATCAGTAAGCTAGGCTTACTTGCTGGAAGTGTACTTGGTGACAGCCTTCGTGCCTTCGGACACAGCATGCTTGGCTAGCTCTCCAGGCAGAATCAGGCGGACGGCGGTCTGGATCTCGCGGGAAGAGATGGTGCTCTTCTTGCTGTAGTGAGCAAGACGAGAAGCTTCCGCAGCGATGCGCTCGAAGACATCGTTCACAAGAGAGTTCATGATGGACATTGCTTTCGACGAGACTCCAGTGTCAGGATGGACTTGCTTCAGCACGCGGTAGATGTACCCGGAGTAGCTCTCCTTCCTGCTCTTCCTCCTCTTATCGCCCGATTTCGCCTCCCTCCTACTCTTCACGGACTTCTTCGCTCCTTTGGCAGACGGCTTCGGTGGCATGACGAGTTTCGTAATACGATCGCGTCAAGGTGTGACAAGCTTCTCCTTGGCTGCGCTTTTATAGAGGTAGCGCGAAGAAGCCCCGCCCAAGTGGGCGGGGCACTCCGCGAAGAGCATAACTAGCAGTAAGCTTGCCAGGTGTTCAAGAGTAATTAATAGATTGATATTCTAATCGCATTGAGGTCTTGGAAGAGAAGGATTATGGCGAAAACAGACCGTGACAAGAACAAAAAGATATCAATCGTTTCGAAAGAGTTTTGGAAGCTAAAAAAATATGGTCAAAAGGCCTGGTACCAGCCGCTCTTTGCTTTGATAAAATTTTTGTCCTCCCTCCTTCGTAATGAGCAGTTTCAGGCACAGACACGTAAGTAAGAAAGTGTCTTCTTTTCACAAAATTTGGCATGTCCTGCTGGACTCCAGCTCTGTGGGACTTGCACATGTGAAAAAAAAGTACCCATAGGGCATAAAAGTACCTAACCAGGCTGTTTGCATCAGAGAGCAGCGCTTTGTTGCACGTGTAATGCAGTCTTTTGTCCTACATTAACGATGCGGAAGGAAATAACATTTGTACATCTCGTTTCTTTGTGTATAAACATTAGCAAAACTGTAAACATCAGGGAATTTCAGCCAAATACTATGTTAGGTCACTTCGAACATCTTGCGAATGTCAGATCATCACAGAGCTATCTACTGTAGTAAAACCTTTTTTCAAACCGTGTAGTTAAGGAACGTATCTAATTATACAGCCATATATTTATGGAGGAGCCTCCAAACAATAGTGTGGATCAGTGGATTGCATGACAAGGAATACCTTCCTAGAACTTTGTCGTCGGAGTGGGTGAATAAAGACCCTCGTTCTCTCCAGTGGATCATTGCCCAGCAAGCATGGGCATCAGTCCAAGCAACGTTTGTCATGTCTATTCACTCAATTTTTGCCTGAGTTTGCTCTTAACAATAAGAGTGATCCTAACCAGATTGCCTGGCGTCAAACTTATGCTGTTAGAAATCTAGTGAAGAGAACAATACAAGTAATACATTAATGAATGCACGAGAATCTCATATCCTACCAAAAATAGCGAAAAGTTATATGTAGTGAGTTAGCATTTGAAAAAAATTAACCTCCATCAAAGAGATCATTAAGACTGGCGAGCTGCTTCAGTTGGAGAAAGAACGTTCTTAACTCCGTTCTGAACTCAATTCCCGCGACAATAAGAAAACTCGTCGATGAATGATTCCAAGGGACTTTTTCTGTTTCGAAAGCGCACATCAAAAGTTCAAGGCTCGCATGCTAAAATCTTTAAGCATAAAAATCTTGATATTTCTCTGGTCTGCAGTCAGCAACCATGAAAATCTTCTACCAAGCACGAGCACGAGATTGTGCTCACTTATACAGCATGAAGCTGACTGTCAATTTCTGTTCATGTTCTTGCGCTAGTTTCACTTCGCCAGTAAAGGTGAAGATAAAGAGAATAACATGACATGTTTATTTATACACTAAACATGACATAATGACAGCATGTGGCCCTAAAGAGGGCCGTTGGGTTAGATTTTAGTTCGTTACCATTGAATTCATTTTGCTTCGGCAGCTGTTTTCTTGGGGAGAAGGACAGCTTGGATGTTTGGTAGAACACCACCTTGAGCAATTGTAACACCGGAAAGCAGCCTGTTCAACTCCTCATCGTTGCGTACGGCCAGCTGGATATGACGAGGGTTGATGCGGGTCTTCTTGTTGTCGCGAGCTGCATTCCCGGCCAGTTCGAGCACTTCAGCGGCTAGGTATTCGAGGACAGCTGCCAGGTAGACGGGTGCCCCACCTCCAATATGACTGGCGTAGTTCCCTTTGCGAAGCTGGCGGTGTACACGTCCCACTGGAAACTGAAGTCCGGCTCGAGATGATCTTGACTTGATTTTCCCTCCGCTTTTCGATTTGCCTCCTCCACGTCCAGACATTGTTGCAACTTCACTCTCAAACTGATCGATTGTAAATGAAGCTGAACTTGCAGAGCTTTGATATACCTTTTGCGCGGAGTAAGCCCCACCCACTTGGGCGGGGCTTCTTCGCGCTTCTTTCACAGCCTCATGGAGAAGCTCGACATGTTTCGATTGGTCAAATTTTGAAACCTATCGTGCATCTGCTAAAGGGGCGAATGGGTCCGCAAAGTGCAGGAAAACTAGAGAATGAAGCGACGAGAGGAACGCAGAAACGATATACAGCTGTATGCTGGGGCAAATCCATCTCCACTGGAGTCTACGAAGACGATGTCTCTCAGACCCCAACATTTTTGAGCATTCTACTGCCTAAAGTATTACCGTCATGCTGTAGTAGAGGAACTATATGTCGCCGAAAGTGCGAGGGTCCCTCGCAGTTAATGCAGTAGACACTCAGCCTTTTCATGTATCGGAAATGTGTATAGGGCTTATCAAACGCAGTGTCGCTTCATCAGCATCTCCACTCCCGCGCTGGACTCCGCGTCTCTTCCGCGAACATGCTCCTTAATCACTTCCAATCAACTGAGGCTCCGCCTTTCCCACATTCGCCCTGGGAAAGTGATCAGAGAGCATGTTTGCGGAAGAGATGCAGAGTCCAGCGCGGGAGTGGAGATGCTGATGCGAGCGACAATGCGTTTGATAAGCCCTGAATTTGTTGCAGATGTCCGGCGGGACTTCCCACTTTCGACGACATATCGTTTCCCATCAATGCCATACTAGTCCCAAAAGCACGAAGCTCGGAGGAGTAGCCACGTATGCTAACCCAGAGGATAAGGCTTCAAGAACATCACCTGCAGATGCTCAATCTCAGCATGACAAAGAGTGTTAAAGCAAATCATATGCGGAAAAGCAAAATCAGTTAATTGTGCTACCAACTTTTTTGAGATGGAAATCATAGTTCGATGTTAGAGGCAGTCAGAGGCAGAGTCCGTGCAAAAAGTCGATTGCAAGATTTTGTGGTTACCCGGGCTTATTCGCTATGCTGAATCAGAAAGTCCACACTGGAGAGCGTGAAAACGGTGGAAAAGGGTTCTAAGGAAATTACTAAGTTGGCGGGGTCTTCCCCACTGTGAATCCGTGTTCCCAGTTGTTGGAGCGAGCTTCTCGATTCCGTTAACCCCCTCGACATCCAGCGGCCAAGTGAACGCTTGACCTGAAGTCGCCACCGAGAAGATCGCTGGGACCCCGCCTTGTGATGATTTCCCTCCTGCGTTAGAGCCCTTTTTCACCGTTTTCGCACTCTCCAGTGTAGATTTTGGATTCAGCATAGCAAATAGGCCCGAGTAAGTTCAAAATCCTGAAATTTTTTTGCGGAGAGGATCCCTTTAGGGCCGCGTACATCTGAATGTGATCATCATAAGGCTCCAAAATTTTGCACAGTTCATATAATGAGCAGCAGCTGATAGAGCATTGAAACCAATCCAAGTAACAGGAACTCGCTAAATCTGAACTAGGTCAAAATATGAGTAGGATGACAAATCTCTTGATTGATGACAAACATTGATATTCCTACGGGGCTAGAGATCAACCCACGCCTTGCTTATCTATATTAGCAAGTTTAGCTTACTTTTTCGTTTCCGAACTGTTATAGTAAGTTGGATGAAAACGAAACTCATGGTTTTTCACCAATGATTAACAACATCACCTTTGAAGACTTTTTTTTTTGCAAAAACAGGTCACTGGATTATACAGCAAGCAAGATAGCGATCGATTTGCTTGTCCCAAAAAAATTTTCGCTCACGCGTTGGGCGTCCGCAAGCAATTCTTCTCTGTGCAGTATAGTATTATAATATCCTTTTTTTGTTCTATTTACATGCTTTTCGAGCATTTTCTGCTTCTGCGTTGTCTCATGCTCTTCTTATAGGCTCTATTACTCAGCATCGGTCTCTCGCTGACATGCCTTGCGAGGACGCACCGTCGCGGCGACGCAGCAGAGTTCGCGCGCGTCACATCGCACCGTCGCAACTTGCCGTAGGCGCGATGTCGTACAACCGATGCTGGTTGGTACGGCCTATACTTGCTCTGCGAAATGTAGGTACTCGCTCTCGTATATAAATAGTATGTTGTCCCAAAATTGACTGCTTTTCCAAACAAAACAAGCTGTTTCGGTTTTCCTAGCAGAGTTAGGGTATAGTTCGACAGAGCGAACCAAGCTCTACAAAGCAAGGCAAAGATTTGCCCGAGCCATAATCCAGATAAGGGTTGAGGCCAAAACCCGAAAACATTTTATCTTCTGAAATCGAGAACATTTTATCTTCTGAAATAATTTCTGCGAAGAAAATCCTACGAACTTCCACTGGTCATTATATAGTGGACTCATGTAGTACTCAAATTACCTTTCTTGGCTTTTTTTGCGCGTAGAAAGCGAGAAAAAGGGATAGTCCAAAATGGTAAACTCCGCCCCGGCCCCCCCCCCCCGCATATGTAGTTGTATACTACAAGCCTTAGTAAGTATAACCCTGAATTTATACCTCTGTATGCACACTATAACCGATACTTTCGGGTACTACTATGTGTCTACTATATAATGACCAAGTTGGAGGCCCGCAGAAAGCTTTTAGAAGGAGATCTGATTTTTTGGGTGGTTGAAAATCTTGATTTTTGGCTTTAAACTTTAACTGGTACGATTTAGGAGGATCTTTGATGGTCATTTGTAAGGCTTGCTTCGCTCTATCAGATGATACCCTGAATCTGCTTGAAAAACAAAAACAGCTTGTTCTATTCAAAAAAGGAGTTTACTTTTGGGACAACCTTATAGAAGAATCGTTTGATGATTTATGGCTGTTAGACAAACGCGATAATCAAGGAACTGTTCATTCATTTTCCAATCGTGAACTCTTCCACCAATATGAACGAATATCAATATTGATTAGTTCTAATGCCAAAACTTCAAATGAAGTATTCGACCTCCAAACATCTGATCAATTCAATTGGGCTCAACAGATTATTTCTAGGTCAAAAAGCAATGTGATTTTTTTCAAAAGCAATGTGATATTCAGCGTCAGCTGGCCGAATAACCCCCTGGGTCAAACTTCACGAATTCTGGGATTTTGACCCCCTACCGTAATCCTACCGTAACCCGAGAAATTGAGCTGCGGTACAAAACCAATGTGATATCTGGCATCAGCCGAATAACCCCTTGGGCCAAGTTTCAGCAGAGTCTATGCGAAAAAAATTTGGGGTCCGGATACTGGAATAGCGCCGATATTCAGCATGAGCGGGCCGAATAACCTTTCTGGGCCAAGTTTCGGGCAAATCCGTGATTTTGACCCCCTACCGTGCACCTACCGTAACCCCGCAGGGAGGCCTTTTCCTGCGGAGAAAAGGTGATATTCATGATCAGCATGTCAGATAACCCCTCCGGGCCAAGTTTGAGCGAAATCCATGACCAAAAAAATTTTGGGGCCCGGATAGCCGAAAAGCGCCCACATTTCGACGGAAGCATACCGTCATAGCGACTCTGTTAACAAGAATCCAATCATATACAACATCATTGGCAAAGTCAACACTTTGGACAAAATTTATTTGAACAAGATCTACATATGCAAAATGTGGCCCTAAAGAGGGCCGTTGGGTTAGGTTTAGTGCACTAGAAGTGCGGGTTTACGCTTTCTCCTCAACAGCGGACTTCTTTGGCAGAAGAACGGAGTGGATGAATGGCAGAACTCCTCCTTGAGCGATGGTAACTCCAGTCAGCAGCTTGTTCAACTCATCGTCATTGCGAATGGCAAGCTGGAGATGACGAGGGTTGATGCGGGTCTTCTTGTTATCGCGAGCTGCATTTCCAGCCAATTCGAGCACCTCGGCTGCCAGGTATTCCAGAACAGCTGCGAGGTAGACAGGAGCTCCACTTCCAATGCGGTCGGCGTAGTTCCCCTTGCGGAGTTTGCGATGGATGCGTCCCACAGGAAACTGGATCCCAGCCCGGCTCGAACGAGTTGACTTGGTCTTCGCTCCGCTCTTCGACTTTCCTTTTCCGCGTCCAGACATATCGACGACTTTGAACTGCGAGTAGACTCACTGATACAGCTACTTAGGGTGAGGGCTTATATAGCCTGGCGCGGAATATAGCCCGCCCATGTGGGCGGGGCTTTCTTGCAAGCGCTCTCGACTGTGACGTGCAATTCAACAGGAACTACGTAGAATCTACTTATGTTAGCGTTCAAAATCGAATAAATACGCAAATTGTGCCTCATTGGAAGTGGAGTTTGGAATTTGGCTAACACAACTCTGTTTATGCGCACGTTATTGAATGTATGCAATTGCCTCATATTGGAACAAATGACTGAATCAAAATTTTTGAGCTGACTCGAAGACTGTAGAAACTATGAAGTCGCGATAAACGCGAGCTAATCACAAAAGCATCTATGCCCTTTAAATAAAATAGATTTATCCCACTAGAGGATAGTATCTACCTGTTTAACTGCCACTCTGCTCAAAATGCGTGGCTCGAGTCAATAAGAAGAGCTGCATCAACCCTCGTCCATTTTTCAGCTACCCGTAGGTTGAAGTGAAAAGCAGATTTCACTTCGGTCTACTACAGTTCGTGTTTGCCTAATATTTTCGCACAATTTCCTTTGGTGCACTGCGTAATGCGCCCACTGAAAATTTTTATTTCTTTCTGCATGTGACAACATCATAACTTATAATAACGGGCTAAGGATGTTTACGTGTTTTTGTGTGTGTGTGTGTCTGTCTGTCTGTCTGTCACGAAATTCGTGGAACGGTTGCCAGCCAACATCTTAAGCCCATATTTTGCACAGCGCATGCTACCAACATGAGAGTCCACTATATCAAAGCTTGAGCGGATCCGTTTAGCGGATCCCTCAAAAAATGCGCGTCAATCGGACCCACCTGGCTTTTCGTCCCCAAAATTGGGTCCGTAATTCCACTTTTTGCAGGCTCTTGGATGTTTATGGCAAGTAAATGTGCAAACCATGAACTTAGGCCCAAAAAAGTGATCAAAAGTCCACTACTTTACAAAAACGGCGCCAAAAAGTATTGGTTGCGTAAATGGTCATTTTGCCAAGCTTTTACCAGAGCATTTGATGAGATTTTTGCACCTAAATGTAGCTTATAGTGACTACTGTTCTTATGGCGACTGTCAAGACTGTGGAAAAATCAAAAACTTACAAAATTTTGCCTTGTTCACCTGCAAAAAAATTTCATCCACGAAATCACCGATTTCACATGAAAAAGCTTTCGGAATGAGTAGTTGTTTACATTTTGTTCATGATAGTAGGCATTGCTCGGTGAATTTCAATGCCATCATTATGCGAGAATGAGTAGGGCTTAGATAGTAGAACCAGTGCGAGCCTCTGCGAAGCAGAGGTGACGCACTGGTCTCATATAAAGAGCAAATGGACCCCACTCACTTTTGAGAACTTTCACAAGAGTGAACTATGCAGCTATTTTGCAGAAAGAAAGGCCCCATATTTCACAAAAACATTTCTGTTGTCGTGCAGATGCCCTAATCTGCTCTGGAAAACATGCTGCCGTTTGATCCTCCTCTCTCTTTTTTGCATCTATCTACTAGAGTCCAAGAAAAATTTGAATGTTGACATCATCTGCATTTAGAATCAAACTCCACTTCCTTTCACACGCTAACCGCACTCCAATACGTGGGAACAAAACAGCTCAAGAACTTTTATTCGAGAAAATACAGTATTGGCATCATGATGTGGCCCTAAAGAGGGCCGTTGGGTTAGATTAGAAGATGTCTTCCATCAGTAAGCTAGGCTTACTTGCTGGAAGTGTACTTGGTGACAGCCTTCGTGCCTTCCGACACAGCATGCTTGGCCAGCTCTCCAGGCAGAATCAGGCGGACGGCGGTCTGGATCTCACGAGAGGAGATGGTGGTCTTCTTGTTGTAGTGAGCAAGACGAGAAGCTTCCGCAGCGATGCGCTCGAAGACATCGTTCACAAGCGAATTCATGATCGACATGGCCCTCGATGAGACTCCAGTGTCGGGATGCACTTGCTTCAGCACACGGTAGATGTAGACGGAGTAGCTCTCCTTCCTGCTCTTCCTCCTCTTGTCGCCCGATTTTGCCTCCCTCCTGCTCTTCGCGGACTTCTTCGCTCCTTTGGCAGACGGCTTTGGTGGCATGACGAGTTTCGTAACACGATCGCGTCAAAGTGTGCCGAGCTTCTCCTTGACTGCCCTTTTATAGAGGTAGCGCCTCAAACGCGCGAAGAAGCCCCGCCCAAGTGGGCGGAGCATGCTGCGCGAAGGGCATAGCTAGCATAAGCTTACTTTTTGTCGCAAAGACAATGGGATTGATAATGTAGCTGCATCGCAGACTTGAAAAAGAAGGATCAGAGGGATTACACATTGCGACAGAGACAAGTTATACTCCAGCTCTCGGGGGGACAGACTCGTGGGAAATGCCAATGCTGCATATGCTCAACAAGCTTATGTTGTTCAAAACAGAAAAGTAGCATTCTTTTCAATCTTGAGCTCAAATTGAGTGGTAATGTAGCATATGGCAACAAGAGGACTTGCATGGACATTTCCTCTTTAGCTTGCGCAAGAGCGATTAAACTGAATGGGTGCCTCCCAGTTTTATTATACAGAGTGATATCTGCCGAATATCCATGCAAAACTTTACCGCTTTGGTTCACCCTGTGATGTGGTCTCCAGACTTTGTAATCTGTACATCTAGGTCTATTTGAGTATCATTAGAGCAGAACTATGAACATCACTGAGTTCAGCCAAATACTGTCAGATGACTTCGAATTGCAAATGTCAGATCATCACATCAAGGAACTCTCTGAGAAGTAATACCATTTTTGGACATTGCAGTTGAGAATAAGGATTGTTCTGCCTGAGACATGTAAACGTGAGGTCATTTTGATGGAGCGGAACAACACTCCTAGTCAGTGATTGTTAAATGACAAGAAATACTTTCCCAGAAGCGCCGTGGTCGGAGTGGGTATCTAAAGACCCTAATTTAGCCGAGACTGTAAAGTCCCAAGCTCTCGCCATCGGCGGAGAACTATAGACCTAGCATGACCTGAATAACGTTTGCCATACTCATCTACTCAATTTTTCTGCCTAGGTCCGCTGCCAAATGATCCTTATTCGATGGCCCTCTAGCGCCAAATTCATGTTATTCAGATTCGAGCGAGGAGAAAATGTAACGAATGTACAGAACATGAACGAAGTGACAGAGGAAAATTATCGATACTATCCCCATTAGTAAATCAGAAAATGAAAATCGCGGATTTCGTTGAAACTTCATCTAGGGGGGGGGGGGGGGAATTTTGTACGCTGTGTACAAATATCGCATTTATTTTGCACGTTAATGTCATTTGGTAGAGTCAGATAGGATAACGGTAGGGCAAAATAACGGATTTACCCAGACCTTGTCTAGGGGGATAATTTGGTACGCTGAACGCGAATATCATATTCATTTCATACAATAGCGTCATTTTGGACTACAGTGGGTACGCGGTAGATATTGAAAATTCGACTTCGCTCAAAGATTTGCATAGAGGGGTTCTTAAGCATGCTGATCTTATATATAAAGCTGAATGTCTGTTTGTATGTATGTCTGTATGTCTGTATGTATGTCTGTATTATGTACGTATGTTCCGAATAGAAAATTCCATTTCTGAACCGATCGGGACCAAACTTGGCACACATACACTTCGGGCCCCGGCGGGTGTCACAGTCCACTCTTCGTTATCGATCGATGTCGATTTTATCGAATTTTTGCAAAATTTGAGCTACGTGGCTGGGAGTTGGCACAGGGGGGTAATCGAGCATGCTGATCACCCCCGTGGGGGTGATCAGCATGCTCGATTACACCCCTCTGCCAAATTCGAGCCCCCTAGCTCAAATTTTGCAAAAAATCGATAAAATCGACATCGATCGATAACGAAAAGTGGACTGTGACACCCGCCGGGGCCCGAAGGGTATGTGTGCCAAGTTTGGTCCCGATCGGTTAACACGTTTCGGACCGCGAAATCGCGCGCGGCGAAAAAGAGTGTTCGTTCAACCGTTAGCTAACAAAGGGACCTTATTTTGAAGACTGTGTGCTACATCTGTAATGATCATGTCGGAAAACCTCCATACCCAAAGTTCTGAGTGAATTCGAAGTGTTTGAATTTTGTCACCTGAGAAGGAGTTCTGTGCTTTCCTGAAAGATAGGAACAAGAACTCAGTTTCTAATAATAACCAAAAGTATCCATGTTGTGGACGATACACATCAGTATTGAAACTACAGTTTTTCTCTTTGATATTGAAGCAAAGGAAAGCTGCGACGTCGCACGCGTCGTTCGCGTTGCCGCACTTCGTTGCAACTGTTGTTCGATTTGTGCTCATATCTCCTAAACAAATATCGGCGGCACAACTCTACAAAGTCATGTAAAAAGTAGAAGCTTAGGCCTTCGACTTGATAACTTTGGACTAAAAGAAAACCTCCTGTAAACGTCAAGAAGATCCTTCAAAGCAGGGTGCTGCACCATGTGCAGCACCGGTCCGAAACGTGTTAATGAATGGAATTTTCTATTCGGAACATACGGCGGAGCCGGGTAAGCCAGCTAGTTACAAATATTATGCTCAATAAGGCATTGTTGCAGCGAAAGAACGTGATATTCGCTGCATGCTTGTGAACCGCTCCATGCAAAGTTTTGAGCAAATTCGGAATCTCGAGCCACTTACCGTATGCCCACCGTAACCCGAGAAAATGGCGCTACCTCAAGAAACGAATTCATACTTTAGTCATGTTTGGCGTAGCAAATAACCCCTATTAGAAGTTTGGTTCAAATCCGTGTTGACCCCCTGCCGTAATCCTACCCTAACTCCACCGGATGGCACTACCGTGCGAAATAAATGTGATATCCTAATCAGCGTGCAAAATACCCCCCCCCCCTCCTCCTCAGACGAAGTTTTAGCCAATCCATAATTTTTTAGGTAAACATGTGGAATGTAACCAAATTATCTGTATTGCTTTCTAGCATTGCAAAACCGTTAACCTTCAGTACAAAGATGATTGAGATTGATCTTTTTCGAAAGGGAGGAAGAGCGTCTTCAGTTTTTTGAAGTTCTGAGACAAAAGGTAATTCGTCGATGAGTTATTAGAATGGACTGAGCTTGCAGTTCCTGTTCTGTGTTGTAAGCACTTGCATCAAATTCACGATCTGCACGCTGATTTTCTTGATTTTTTATGGTCTGCAGCCAACATCCATGAAATCCTTCAACAAGTGCTCAGAACACGAGAGGATATTCATTTACAAAGATAGAAACTGATTGTAAGAGGATGAGGACTATATGCGCCAACATCACCCTCACCCCTTGCGGACTGCTGGTACGAATCGCAATGTCTGTTACATGCATGGCTGGGTGATCGTCGCAGATGTCCGCGTGACCACCCCTTTTGGCAACATGTAGTCCTCTACACTGTGAGATCTATAGAGTCATACGGTGAAACGTGCAGCAGGAAAATGAACCCGGCTCGTATTTATCTCCATCCCATTTTTCTCGCGCTCTTTTACTTGTCTCTTCCAGGACATCTTAAAACCCCAATCTCAACCTTGTCATTGCTATTGATCTCGAAGAAGTATTCCTAGGCGCTCTGCGTGAAGCATGCTCCACCCTCTTGGGCGGGGCTTCGTCTCGCCTTTGACGCGCGGCCTTCATAAAAGCGCAAGCAAGGGGAAGCTTGTCACATATTGACGCAATCGTTCTATGGAGTCCGGCGACCTTCCAGATCCAGACTTGCTCCCAGACTTACTTCCAGAAGTGTCCGCTAGCGGATCGAAGAAGTCTGTGAAGAGGAAGGGAGGGAGATTGGGCGACAAGAAGAAGAAGAGCAGGAAGGAGAGCAACGCCGTGTACATCTACCGCGTGCTGAAGCAAGTCCATCCCGACAACGGGGTTTCATCGAGGGCTATATCCATCATGGATTCGCTCGTGAACGATGTCTTCGAGCGCATCGCTGCAGAAGCTTCCCGTCTTGCTCACCACAGTAAGAAGACCACCCTCTCCTCTCGTGAGATTCAGACCGCCGTTCGTCTGATTCTGCCTGGAGAACTGGCCAAGCATGCTGTCTCCGAAGGCACAAAGGCTGTCACCAAGTACACTTCCAGCAAGTAAGCCTAGCTTACTGATGGAAAACATCCTCTAACTAACCCAACGGCCCTCTTTAGGGCCACATCATGATGCCAATACTGTATTTTCTCGAATAAAAATCCTTGAACGATTGTTTTGTTCATATGCATTGGAGAGTGATGTCTGGTTAGTGTAATGAAACGAAATGGAATTTGATTCTAGGCACGTTAATATCAGCACGCAATATATAGCGCATTTTGTAGATGCAAAAGAATTGAGCAGCTGGATAATTGCTAATTTCCGTTTTAATTTACAGTCTCGCCAATCATCAAACTCAACGATCTTCGTACGACACATACTGGTTTTTGCACTTGCAAAGTTCTCCATTAATTTTTATTTTTGCTTCTCGCACCCTTTAATGTTGCTTGGTAGTCAGATACACAGCACCGTTTTCATAACCATTACTAGACAGAAAAACAGTGATCTTTGTGGAATTTTTAGGGCACTGTAAGAACAATGAAAACTGCAGCTTGTACCCCAAAATGTTATTGTGCATTAGGCTTCGGACAGAGTTCACGCGATTTGATCGTAGCGATTGATCGCCGCGATTTTCATTCATTTTCATTTGAAATTCAAAATTTTCGCGCTGGAAAAGTATCACAACCGAATGCAAGCTGATAGGCACGTAATGAACTCGAAACACTTGTCTTTAGCGATTGAATCGCGACGACCAAATCGCGTGAACTCTGTTCGAGGCCTTAAGGGCCGGGCATACTTCACGCGATTTCAGTCGCAACGCGATCTGGCAATTCGCCAGAAGTCTTCGGATCCAGCATTAGCAAACTGCACATGCATAGTGTGTATAACTTACGTAAACTGATGAAATGCCCTATCTTCTGTACATTTATAACGTGTTTACAATGAGTTATGGACACCTGGAATATTGCCAAATCGCGTCGCGATTGAAATCGCTTGAAGTATGTCCGGCCCTTTAGGCTTGTTTTAGGAGGTATGCGCATAAGGGTCCAGAAGAATTTGTTTTCGCTGCAAGATTTGGCGATATGTACTACACAAATAAGTTCCAAATCGCAGAATCTCATTTACCCCCTGCATCTCTTTTCGAGTTCAGGGACAGGAAAGAGTATGCATTGACTTATACTTCCGGAATTTTTCACAGCCTAAAGCTGTGGCATGGAGTATGAACCACTGTAGCGGGCTTTCTTGCACGCGTACGATGATGTTCGGGCTTGAAAGTTGCGCCTTTCAAGCTCGAATATCACTGAATCTACAATCTTAAGATTGAATTCTCCTTAAGAAAAGCTACAAACCATTGATTTGTTTCGCTATGAGACAAGACCAGGATCTGAGATTTTTTGACTGTGGGTTTGGTATAGTGGATAAATACCATACGATTCGAAGGATGCAAGGTGTGCGACCTCGTTTTGATAGGACTATGTTCTGAGATATCAAAGTTCATGAAATTAGCACGTCATCCAGTTCGTGTGGAGTTGAGTGTTTGTTATGCACAAGGAAGTGCGCGTCGTAGTCCGGGGCGCTTGCAGGAAAGCCCCGCCCACATGGGCGGGCTATGCTCAGCGTTAGGCTATAAAAGCTCTTACCCTAGGCAGCTGCATCAGTGAGTCTACTCGCAGTTCATAGTCGTCGATATGTCTGGGCGCGGAAAAGGGAAGTCGAAGAGCGGAGCGAAGACCAAGTCAACTCGTTCGAGCCGGGCTGGGATCCAGTTTCCTGTGGGACGCATCCATCGCAAACTCCGCAAAGGGAACTACGCCGACCGCATTGGAAGTGGAGCTCCTGTCTACCTCGCAGCTGTTCTGGAATACCTGGCAGCCGAGGTGCTCGAATTGGCTGGGAATGCAGCTCGCGACAATAAGAAGACCCGCATCAACCCTCGTCATCTCCAGCTTGCCATTCGCAATGACGATGAGTTGAACAAGCTGCTGGCTGGCGTGACCATCGCTCAAGGAGGAGTTTTGCCGTTCATCCACTCCGTTCTTCTGCCAAAGAAGTCCGCTGTCGAGGAGAAAGCGTAAACCCGCACTTTTAGCGCACTAAACCTAACCCAACGGCCCTCTTTAGGGCCACATGCTTTACTTTGAATTACTTGCTGTAATAAATATGTTTGTGAATTTACGACTTCAACGGTGTACATTTCGATATGTACGCTATGACAATAGCTCTTTGCCCATAGAATAGAAATTGTTTCGAGACCTCAGTTATCTGCCAAAGTTTCCACTTTCTTTCACCTCTGTTTCACAGTGTTATGATCGAAATTTCGTAATGATAGCGAAGCAGTGCCATAAGGAGAAATACGCGAATAAGTGGACAGACGGTTGGTACAATAAAAGGGGATAAAGCAAAAAAAGAGGCTTGGTTACGTGGTAGATGCATTCTTCGAATATCTGCTCAAGACCAATAGTCGAAAGTCGGACGTGAGGGATTCTTCAGCACTCGAATGGGGTCGGTCAACATTGCCAGTATATGAACGTTTGGATCAGAATGTAGAAGTTTGTGCTGTAATTACATCATGATTCATTCTTCTTCTCATACTCTTTTTTTTTTGATAGACATCTTCGGTCATCACAATCATGCAAGTAGGCTACAGAAGCACAGTTTTGCTTTGAGCCCAAATCAGTGTCACGATTGCTGAAAAGGTTTACGGTGGGAAAAGCCTATTGGAAATCCTTTTAGCACCAAAAGAACAGTCCTTGACTTGTAATGTTTAACAAAAAAACATTTTTTTCTGCAGTATCTGTGAACGAGTGAGAAGAGCACTCTTTTTTTGTTCAAAGGCAGGTTGATCAGATTTCAGCTGCTATTGTTTGTGCTAATTCTTATGAAATGTCTACAGTTTCTATCGTTCTGTTATCTAATAAGTGCAAACACATAATACATAGCGCAGCACAAGAGCAACCAATTATCAGCAGAGCTATGTACGTACATACGTACCACTGTACCAACGTAGTGAATGAGAAACCGCCTATTTCTGGAGCCAAACCATCGGCAGTCTGGAGGACTATTACAAATTAGTGGCGCTGGACGTGTGTGATAAGCTTGTTTGGTTTTCTGGTAGATCGAGCGAAGGAAGGTCAGCAATGCGCTCAAAAACGTCCTTTCAAATAAATTCATAAACATTGCTCTCTATGAATCTGGCTCCGATGTCTGTATGCCTTTTTCAAAGCTCTTCGGATGTAAAGAGATAGCTTTCCATTCTGCTTTTCCCCTTGTCGCCCTACTTTCTAGTATTTTGCTTTGCAGACTTCCTCGTCCCTTTAGCATAAAGCTTCGACAGCTCGATAAAATTCGAAGACATATCTTGTCAAAAACGTCGAGCTTCTCGTTAGACGTGCTTTCAGAAAGCGCGAAGAAGCCCCACCCAAGGGGGCGGGGCATGCTCCGCGCAAAGTCTATATGGAAGCTCACTATTGTGAGCCTCATTTCCAATCGATCAAATCGAGGTTGTGGTCAGCAAAATGTCTGGACGTGGAGGAGGCAAGTCGAAGAGCGGAGGGAAAGCCAAATCGAGATCGTCACGAGCCGGACTTCAGTTTCCAGTGGGACGTGTACACCGCCAGCTTCGCAAAGGGAACTACGCCAGTCATATTGGAGGTGGAGCACCCGTCTACCTAGCTGCAGTTCTGGAATACCTAGCTGCTGAAGTGCTCGAACTGGCCGGGAATGCAGCTCGCGACAACAAGAAGACCCGCATCAACCCTCGTCATCTCCAGCTAGCCGTACGCAACGATGAAGAATTGAACAGGCTGCTCTCCGGTGTTACAATTGCTCAAGGTGGTGTTCTACCAAACATCCAAGCTGTCCTTCTCCCCAAGAAAACAGCTGCTGAAGCAAAGTGAACATCAGACCAATGAACTAAAAATCTAACCCAACGGCCCTCTTTAGGGCCACATGTTGTCCTCGCTTTTTTCCTGTAGTGGTAATAAATATGATTTATTGGCTGAGAATCGCTTTTTCCTAGTCGAAGCAGCTCACTGTTCTCAACATCTCAGTGAAAAGTTTTTGAATGCTAGGAAACTGTCGAGAATAATCTCTCGCTTTCGCCTTCTTCACTCGATTTTGAAGATCGATTTTGACGCTGAACAGGCCATCATGTTGAAGTTACCACGCTAGAAGTGCGTTTCTAAGGGACGGGTCGTACTATTCTTGTGATTCCTGCATTTCCTGCGATTGCTGATTTCTGCGGATCCCAACAATGTACATTGCGAAAAACAATGTGTACCAAAATTGGCAAAGTTCTCCGAAGTGCAGCACATCGAACGATCACAAGAATTGCAGGAATTACAGAAATCGCAGAATCACCTCCTGGAATGCATGGCCTTTGGCAACGAAATTCTTGGGCAGGAAAACACGGGTGTGCCAGAGCCTTATTGCGTCTCTGTTCGAAGACCTCATAGTCAGCTGCTAAGTCAATCTATGATTTATCAGTTACATCAGCAATCCTTATCATTAACTTATTACCGCCAGGGTTTAGTTAAAGGCAGCGTCCAGGCAGATCTGGACCTATAGGGATTTTACGTGGAACGTATTTTTGAAGCCCTAACTAAGGCACTGCCCAAGCGGCAGCGCAGGTACTGCTCTAACGACTGAGATATTCCCCTCGAAACTGGATCCCATGATCGTATTCGCATGGATTCATGGCAGTTTCGCGCCAGAATCCACACTTTGCGCCATAAAGCCATGCGAAATACGATTGCGGGGTCCACTTTCGAGGGGAATATCTCAGCCGTTAGAGCACTACCTGAGCTCTGGTTGGGCAGTGGCTTAGTTAGGGCTCCAAAACTACTCTCCACGTGAGATCCCCATGTGTCCAGACTTGCCTGGACGCTGCCTTTAAGCTTTCATACTCTATTTTATCAAACAAGTTCAACAAATTGCAGAATGTGGCTACAAGGGGGCATTAGGTCAGGCTTAGTGCTGTGCCCTGGGAGTAGGGTAGGTTTTTTCAGCAATCGTTCAACGGTGAACAATCCTAAGGGGTCTTTTCCATTAATGCCACATTGCTTAGGCCAACTTTTCCCAAACATCTTTCTTTAGCAGATGGCTTTGTTGGCATAAAGATTTTCAGCTTATTTGGCGACGATACTTGACGTTGCAGAACAAAACTGCGCGAACTAAACTCCGCCTCTTGTGGGCGGAGCTTAGTCCGCGCAAGGCTTACATCTTTTAAACCTCATTGTGGTCACCTTCATTGTTCCATTTGCAACGAAACGGCATGTCTGGACATGCGAGATTCAGGCCACGATCATCCCGATCACGACCTCCATTCTCTGTGGGACCAGTATATCGGATGCTTCGCAGGATGTGCCGTGCCGGCGGTGTCGAAAGGGAAGCAGCTATTTACTTGTCTGCGGTTCTGGAGCGCCTTGTAGCTGAAGTGTTTTTTGTGGCTGGAAAAATCGCCATGATGAGGAGACTACGACACCATGCTTCGATATCTTCAACAGGACGTACCCAAAGATGGAGGCTGTAAAATGATGCGTTTCGATTTCCCGTCTACCATGACCATCCAAGGTCCGAGATTACGAACGTTGACCTGAGGAGCAGATGCAAACGGCTAAATTTAACCAAACGGCCCTCGTTAGGGCCACATCTTCATTGCCTAGTTGGTGATTAACTGAATAAACTGATTACAAGAGTGAGAGACAGAACATATAGAAAGATATCACCTAGTGTACATCAGTGAGCTACAGTCAGCATTATGCAAACCTTTCAGCGCCACAACCAAGACTAAAGCTCGTTATTCAGTTCTCTCTAGTAGTAAGTCCATTGGGGCCCTTACTATGCGCATGTCGTTCGCTTCACGATCCGTGCTACTACCCTTGCACTGCGTCTGAGACCAGCGGCGCGCGTGGCCAACATGTTGGCAACATGCAACAATAATTAGCACGTTGTTGATATGTTCTTGCATGTTGTCAAAATGTTGTTGCATGTTGCCAACATGCTAGCCATGCGTGTTGCAGCTCGGAGACGCAGAGCAAGGGCAGCAAGAGTATGAACTGGAATCACACGACACTATACATTCTTGTAACACAGAACTATGATCGTACAGAGTTTAACACGTAGTTTTAGCTTTTATTTGCGTCGGTGGAGTTTAGAGAATAGTTTAGAGATTATGTGATGGATCTGTTTGACATGCTTACTGCGTTTTGTCCTAAAGTGCCATATGGTGGAGCCATTACAATGAAGCAAATAAGAAATTAGAATATGGTTGCCAAAGAGATGCAAAATTTCACAGCAATTCTTGTATCTGTTTTTGACACTATCCGGTTTCGGGGCTAACTATACCGGTAGTGCAGCTTCCTTGGTGTCCCTCATCAGTAGTTCTCAAGGAAGATTCAAAAATTTAGGAAAAGAGATAGCTTAGAGAATTTGTGCGGAATACTAAGCTTACTGCAGATGGGTTCATAGTGCGATTTTAATTGCAATTTGACGTGTTTTCTTATCCCTTGCGGGATCGTACTAGCAGTAATGCACTCACAGTGCTCGCAAAAACTGCGCACATGCCGCGAGTCGCGTCATTAGCGTGGTCTCGCGAGATGTCGGCATTAGCGTTATTTTGCATCATCCCCGAAGAAAGTCAAGCAAACTTGTTGGCTCGAATTAGCCTTTGCGCTTTTCATTAAAGCAAAAGCAATTCATAACGGACATCAAACTTCTATTATAATGTTAGCCCACTGTCAATTAATAGGATGTCGAGGGCAAACATGGTGATACTTTGGGAAAATTCTAACAAAGTTTCTTATTCGATTTTCTCAAATTCACTTTTTGGATTCAGACTACTTCAGGTTGCTTGAAACATTCCTTGAAGTTGGCTTTAAGATACTTGTAACCTACATGGAAATATGAATAAATGTACAGAACTATAGCATATTTCATGAAATATCGATATCATCACCTGTAGTGACATTCATTTCTCTTATTGTCTTGGTCCTGCTGATTATTAGAAAGAAATTATTTTTTACTGAAGCTAGTCAGCTAGCTTTTACCAGCAAGCTCGCTGGCATGCCAACAGTGAGATATCTTAGTGTTCAAAAATGGCAAGATTTTGTTATGTCGGTAATTTAAGTCGAAATGGTATTTATGTTATAAGATCTTTTCTTGGAACCGACTGTTTATGTAAATGAATGAAATAAGCTACAGTATTATTCGACGCGGATTGTCTCTGCACTTCTATAGCACTGGGCCAGATAACTCGCTTTATTTCAAAAAATAACTTAATCTGGACGATTTTATTGTTGATTTGACAACTTTTCAAACGAAGGAATCAGTGGGAGATTTATCAGTTAGCTGTCCGAGAGAATTAAACGCAGTCGCTCACGAATCAAGCACAGTTTTAACGTTAAGATGCAGATGCTAGATTTTAGGAAAAGCCATAACAAGAAATATGCAGCAAATGGATTTAGGTTATCAGTTATTGTAAAAATTGCAACTGGCAAGCTCCCAACGGTAGCCGAATGGCAGCACGCAGACAGTGTCCGTCATATCGTCGCCGTTTGGCGTCAAGGCCACATAGCGCAAAAATCGGAAGTCTCATAATTGTGGTTCAGCAGTTCAGTGTTACTACAACTGTCTTTTGTTGAGCAAGCGAAGGCCAGCAGGATGGTCATGAACCAGTTGTTTTGCCATTATGTCGTCGACAATTTGTAGCACTATATAACGGTTTTGCAGCGATGGCTTGGAGGAATTCACTCGTTTTGGTAGTTTTTGCTGATAAATTGTCTACATTTTTTGGTGTGATACTGATGCTTTCAGATATGCGGCTTTTCGTCTTGCTCTCGCTTGTCCCACTGAGCTCAGCATTTCTTTTTGATCTGCTGGGAGGTCTTGGTGGAGGTATGATGGGTGGAGGAGGAGGGGCCTGTTGTGCACCTCCGGCATATCCAGCGCCGCCGCCACCGCCGCCGCCACCGCCTCCACCTCCTCCACCGTGCCCAGGACCACCGCCTCCGTCCTACCCACCTCCGTCCTATCCACCTCCACCACCCCAATACCCACCCCAGCCTCCACCAATGCCACCGATGAAGTCTTATGCAATGTCACCATCATATGGAAATGGTGGAGGAGGTTACAGTGGAGGTGGAGGTTATGGTGGAGGTGGAGGCGGAGGTGGTTACGCTCAACCTGGGGGAGGAGGAGGAGGTTACGCTAGTGGAGGAGGGTACAGGAGAAGACACGCTCGGGCAGCTGAGCAGGAAAAGGGAACAAGCTCTGATATTAAATGCAACAGCGATGAAGTGAAGGAAATCATCAAGAAGGTACTCTCCTCATTTTACACTACCCCTACTCTTGCGATCTAATTCCTCTTCCAGGCGATGAGCGAAGATGAAGCCGAAACCCGTACGAAGATCACAGCTGAACTTGTAAAGAAGAATGACAAGCTGGCTGTATTCTGCACCCCACACTCGTTTGACTTCACCATCTCAAAGAGCGCCGAATTCTGCGCTGTAAAAGGAGAGAAATTCACCTGCTATGCTTTTATTTTTACCGACTAGATTCAAATTGTTTCGATAGTCTTTGCCGGATAGATGACACCTTAAGTAACGATCTCGAATCACAAATAAATTTTTTTTGAATTGAGTCCTTAATGATTTGCAAAAACACAGGACAGGCAAGTGAAAATAGCATGATTGAAGTGTACCTTCAAGGATTTGCAGAATCTAAAAAAGCCCATTTAGGGGATCTGTTCCAACTTACATAATCAGTTGATCGAAAATGCTGGAAGAAAGCGCAGTGAGGCATCTAATGCTCAAAGCGAAAATGTGCGAGTGCATTTGGAAGAGAATGCATTTTTTTCGATTTTCACTAGTGCAAAACCACGTTTGAGTGGATTCAAAGCAAATGATTTGCTCTATATAGACAAACAACTTGCAACATGTAAAGGCTTCTGCTAGATGAAGGCGCAGAACGTATTGGCGCGAACGCGGTTTAGGGTTGTTGTTTCAGACTGCCGCACTGATCGCAGCAGACTGCAGCAGACTGCAGCTGGCCTCATTGACCGCGGGGCCGAACAATCGCTACATCCTTTTGTGAAGGTGGAGAAGATGAATAGATGTAGCTTAGGCAGTCTCTTAACAATGTATGCTCCGATAGACGAGCGGGAATAAAATGGGTATGGAAGAGTATTTAATGACAAAAGGAATTTGAACAAATATGAGCATATTAAAGAAGAACAGTCGCCAAAATTTGATTAGAAGAGTAAATTAAAACCTATCAACTTTCTAGACGCAAATCACGGTGTTTTGATGTATTCGCAACTATTTTCTCTTCTACGAAAGGTGGCAGCGATTGTGAGGCCGTTGCGGTCAGTGCGGTCAGCTGCAGTCTGCTGCAGTCTGCTGCGGTCAGTGCGGCAGTCTGAAACAACTCTTACAAGAGAATGATCAGAAATCGAAGTGGCCATTCCAAATAAGCTGCATAGCGTTAGATGCAGCATGAAGCGCTGACTCTAAATCTGTCTTCTTTATCTGCTTATCGCTTTTCTGGGCGAAGTTATAAGCCATTAAAGACCACTATTTTGCTTAGAAATCATGTGTGAAATTGAAAATTTTGCCATACAGAGCCTCGTTCGCCTCAATGCTAGGCCAAGACATGCAGCTAGCTTACTTCAAATTTTTAAAGCCAGAATCTGAGCTGAAAGTGCAAGAATGTGCTCAATTTCGCTCTTTTTATGTATGATTTTTCACATTAAAACCGCTTGTAACTTCGTCCACAGAAGCGGGAAGCAGATAAGGAAGGCACATTTGAAGTCAGCGTTTTATACTGCATCGAATGATTTACAGCTTCTTTGGTTTGGCCACTTCGACTTCTGACCATTCCCTTGTTAGCCACGCACAAGGCGCGCAGGCTCTGCAACGGTGAAGATACGCGCGCGTTGCGTTCGCGCGCTTTTGACTAACACTGTTGCGCCTTCGTCCGGCAGTAGCCTCTACACAAATGCGCTGCTGACCAGCTTTTCTGCGCTACATTTCTTCACCCGTTTGCTAAAGTAAAGGAAACATGCTCTGGTACTGTAAAAGCTTTAAAGCGAAAGCAGACCAGAGTTCAGTTTTACTCATAAATTATTACTGGGTTAAAAAGCATGCCCAACTTTGCAAGGCTTCAAATTCCTTGGATCACTTGGGTTTGTTCCGAAGTTCTTGTGCATTAACAAAGAAACGGATGCAAGGAGAACCTGATTTATGGAGCTCCAGTCGAGAAAATTGCTTTTTATTATGAAAGTAGAAGTAAGCAAGTGCCAATGCAATACTGCAAAATTTTGAGTGCCACGCAAGAAGAATGAAAGCTAATCTAGCTAACAATCCTATGCTATTCCCTATAGTACCATCACTAACTTCGAGAACACTCTATTTGTGCCTAGGAGTTCTTAGTCAGTTCACATCCATACACCAATTTGGTACGAGTGCCTCAAAGAACCGGTTTTTTCGCTGAGAAAACAAGCACTGATGCAATCTGGATGACAACGCTTGTTATAGAAAAAATCGAGGGGAAATTTTGATAACGGAAAGGGTAAGACTGTTTGGAAAATCTTTGAGCCATGAAATTAATAAGCAAAAAGACAAGCTATATGTATAATAATCGAAGCAAAGGGGAACAGTTTATTATTAGAGATGTAAAATGGTACTTATTAATGACCAACGATTTCAACAACCATACAAGAAAAGTTAATATGAACATGATATGCACTTTTATGCTTTGGAGTCGAGTAAGTGAAACGCTTCGCCAAACGTAAATGTGTCTCGTATACACAAACAACAACACTTAACATTCGTATAAAAACTCGTTGTCAACTTCCTCGTGTTTCTTGTAAACCCGAGAACTTTACCATGACTGCAGCTGGCTTCTTTTTGGTTAGTTCGCTTTTCTATACCTAGTCAGCACATTCTAAACTATATTTTTTCAGATCGTCGTCCTCACCCGACCTCCATCTGTTCTTCCCTTTATTTTTGATCTCATGAATGGTCTCGTTCCACGTTCTTCTCCACAATGTATCTGTGCTCCTCCACCATGTGCAGCTTCAGCCAATGCTGCTAGTGTTTCACAAATAGCCCTAGTGGGCCAAAGTGGAGCCGTAACCCCCATAGCTTCCGAAGGCCCCATTGGGCCTCCTCCCGTACCCAAGGGTTACGTGGGATCTCCTGATCCTGTTGGCCTATACCCACCATCCTATGGTGGATCCAGGGTTCCACCGTACAGTGCAGGAATCTCTCCCTACAGTGAAGGTGGAATCTCGCCATATGGTGAAGGAGGTCCGCCATATGGTGGAGGAACTTCGCCCTATGGTGGAGGAGTTTCGCCCTATGGTGCAGGAAGAGCATTTGGGCGACCGAACTTTGCAGCAGCTGGCTTTCCCCATAAAAAGAGAAGACATAGAAGAAGGTAAGATAATGACTATTAATAGGAGTCTTGAGTTTTTTTTTACTTGAGGTTGAGAGAAGTCGCAACTGGCTGATTAGCTTAGGAGATTTGACGAGTAATATGGTGTTATTGCGGTCATTTGCGCGTAAACAGTGACAATGACACAATGACTTTTCTGGTGCGCTCTATAGCCATTTTTCGCGAGCCAGAAAAGCTAATCCACTGCATTTTACTAAACGCGCAATTTTGGTCAGAATCAATGATTGCCTGACGGCTCTTCTGTTTCGCTAGTTCCCAACTTAGTTCCCAGACCATGTTATTGTTTACAAAGTTCAACAATCGGTTCCACTTTAGAGCGCCGATGATGTGGGCGCCTCAAGAGGAAGAATGTACTAGTAAGGAAGTAGGATCGATTATTGAGCAGGTAGGTGATTTTTCTGACTAGAACTTTCTAGAGAGATTTTCCGAAAGAAGTAGGTGGAGCATTTTCTATTGAGTACAGAGGTCTTCGCCATAACGGGTTTTTTATCATTTTGGGCAATGGGAGCCTCAAAATGTTGATGTGATCTTGTTGCCTAATAGGTAACCTCGCCCATTTAGCCACCTTTGCGCGCAGTGGGCGGGGTTACCTGTCAGCTGCTATCTCAAAGCTAGACAAAACTTGCTGTTTCTTCCAGAAAAAAGTTGGGAAAATGATTCAATCCACTTTTGCCATATATTTAGAGCAGAAAATAGTATTTTCTTGCACATAATTCATTATTTTCTTATTTTTTTCAGGCGATGAATCCCTTCTCCCGAGCGGAATCTTGTGAACGTATACGTGAAACATTAATGCATCACTACGATAGAGAAGTGCTAGTGATGTGTTCACCGTATAGAATCGACTTCAGGGTTACAGAAGCTCCAGAATATTGTGAAAAAATACGTAATGGCACACATTGCTATGCGTTTGTGTTTTAGAGTGCTATATTTGATATGCAATGAAAGTTTATCTCAAAGAAACTGCATATAATTTTGTTTTTCACAATATGGGGCGGGTAATGACGTCGTCAATGATTGTGTCACACCCCGCTCATGTAATAATTAGGGTCCGCATACCCATCTACCGCCATCGACGCGTAACCCTCAACGGAGGGTGGCGTTCAATTTTATCGATCCAGTCATGGTGGCCTCGACCGCACCTTGTATGGCCACCCATGTGGATTTTTTTCTTTGACATTACTCATCGTAAATACGGTATCTGTCAGCTACAGTATCAACGTTTATGTATGAATACCAGAATATTCTTTAGGGATGAATTAAAACGAAGCAGTGAATTGCTTGGTAATGGTATGGCCATATTTAATTTCTGCTTGATTTTCAAGCTTGGAATTTGGTTTTTTAGGTTGATTTAATGTATTCGACTATCGATTGTTTGTTTATCTAGGACTTATCCAATAGCCAGAACAAAATAAACCCATCATTTCTTCCTCTTTTCAGAGTAATTAAAAACCAAATTTTTTCACCATTTTTAAGGTCACCGCGAACCTATCTACCCCAAAATGTTGTTTCTTTGTTTGAGCAGCAAAAAAATCAAAAACTATTTGTTTGTACATTATAGAAAATTTTCCGACTCATTACTTTTCACAACATCCTACAGAATTTCCAGTTTCTCCACAACTGGCAGATTTTTTTCTCAACCGCAGAAGAAGCCTGCCTCAGTCATGATGCATTCATGTACCTATATGGTTATAAGTACACCAAAAATCTCCACTCCACTTTCTGCACCCAATGCAAATTTTGACTCATATTTGTTTGTCGCTGTTCGCTGAGAGTGTTCGGTAACTCAACAAATAAAGCAGTTCGGTCTTGAGTTGCGAATGCGAATATCTCCATCCAAACGCCTTTGCAGAACTTACTATTATGATTCTTTCGAAACCAAGGCTATAAATTGAAGGCTAGGGGGCTTTTACTGACCACAACAATGTTCGCAACCTCAAAAAATGACAAATCAAAGTTGAATTTATTGCTAGCTTTCGTTTAGCATCGTTCTTGTTCCACTTGGCACTAACAAAGTCCGAACTGAAGGGGAATCTGTAGCTTAACGAAAAAAAAACTTGCTATATGTTACCATCGTAGCCTCGGTCCAAAAATATCTCTTTACTCAGACAATCGCAAATGACTTCCGGGGCAAACTAAACTTCTAAAACTTCCGGGGCGGACGCTCCTATCGGGCCCTGTCGGTGGGCCTACCCCCCTACCTGGCCCAGCCCTACTTGGCAGCTCTAGTAGGAGTGTCTCCGCGGAAGTTTTGGAATTTCAGTTTGCCCCGGAAGTGATTTGCGATTGTCTGAGTAAATAAGATTTTTTTAATATTGAATGGGAGTGATTAAGACCCTGGGGAGAGATTTTCGCAATGTTTGGATTGAGTTATTTTGACTGTCTGGAAACAAGAAAAGCATAATTTTCCAGTTTGGATTGCTCCATATATTCTAGAGAATGGTGAATTGGCTGAGTGCAAAGAGATTGCCTGGCTGAATTTTCTCACTTGAGTTTGTAAATCGAAGAAGTTCAGTGCAATGTTATGTGGGAACGGACTTACATTTGTTTTTTGTAATAATTTGTGCTTTTTTCCCCCTATTTGTCTACGGATTCGGCATCTAATCCTGGCCAACATAGGCTTTTTGGGCAAAATCTATCCTATGAATCCTAATTTCTTGGCTTACCCATACCGCTTACTCCCAAAAACTTTTGACTAACTGGACATTTGTAACCTTTTCTGGTAGAAATACTGTATGCGCAAGCATTAGAACAACTAGCTGATCAAACAAACGAAAAAGCATGCAAAGCACAAGCCGACATGGCTTGCCCTCCTTCCTCAGCTGACACTGTGCACACATCGCCGACCCACTGCCATCAAGCGGCGGTGCCATCGAACCTTTTGAAGACCTTGGTTCACCAAATAAACGAGGAGTTTACTCGAATTTCGCTCTATTGTTCGGTTAGCAAACAGGTACAGTGTGTGGTACTGGTGGCCACTGTTTCTGATCCTTGGCCTTCTCAAAATCAAGAAAACCAAAGCTAACTCTGTAGATTGTGGGTAGTTTTGTGAAAGGCCTTGATAATTTAGGGCCTCAAGATATTGTGAGCTGTCAGGCCAAATCATTTCTTTGTTTGCTTAGACAAGAATTTTCCTTTGTGTGCAGTTGTTGTTAGTTAGATTTTTTTTTGAAGTAACTAGTGAACCAGTAGTAAAAGGTGTTAGATTGCATCCGCTCGCTTCGGGACCGCACCGCTATTTTCCCGCTATTTGTTTCCCGCTATTTGATGG